TTTAAATGCACGGGTTTACAGGACGACCAGATAAGCCGACTAGCTGACTCTCCTAACCCGTTTGTCTGCCCCAGCTGCCTCTACGTTAAGGGTGCAATGCATACCGCGGCCAAGAGGAGAGCCCCAAAAACGGTACCCACTTCCCTCTGCAGATTCAGAAAGGCCGATGTCAGTGTTTCGCTTTGACCGTGATGCTCGACGCGAAGTTGGAGCGTCTCTCAAAGGCACTGGAGGATTCAGACACTAAGAATGCAGCGACTTGAATGAAAGTTGGCAAGGAACTTACTTCGCTGAACGAGCACATCGCGATATCCACACCGGGCCCTCTGGCTGCGAAGAAAGTAATACAACTCTCTGACGCTGCTATAAGGACCGCCACAGCGTCTTTAGTGGACAGGCGTCTTTAGTGGATAGGCGCCTAAGGGAAAACAGATTGATAAGCTGTGGGCCATTCTCCGGAAAAATCACGCCAGCAAAGCTAGCACAATCAATCCTGAGCAATGTCCTCACCAAGCCTGACCAATCGCTCCACGCAGAACTGTTACGCCAGAAGGGAAGCAGGCGAACTCTTGGACTTCTCGTCACCCTTTCTTCCCTATATGACGCACAGAAGATCCTGGAGCGGGCGGACCGCATTCAGAAGGCCAACTCACTGATCAGGCGTTTATCTGATTGGGATACTTGGCAAACGGGTTTTTCACCGCTGACACAGCAAACACACGACGATATAGTAAGAAAATTTTCAAGCTCATAGCACCCACATTCATTAGACAAAGTTTTTTCTCATTTCTCGTAGTAGATGCGTGTAATGACCTTCCTCCGAACCTAATGTAAAGCACTATTAGACACTTATTTATGCGAACCCTCGCGCTGGCAAGCATACTGCCCCGCGCTGAGAATACGAAGAGCAGTGCTACACCCTTTTTTACTTGTGCCTTTCGGGTGAACGACAGCCACCGACCGACAGGAACAAAAGCGACCCGTTAAACCTGAGCAAAACCTCGATCTTTCGCATCAGTCAGTGAATCAGTGAAGGTGGGTCTGTCCGAATTGCGCACATCAATTTCACACGCAGGTGAAAGCTTACGTATTTATCTTTTATGCTGCACAGTTTATCCTAACAGTCCCGTTATGACTGTCTCCTTTGCTTGTAGCTGCTTACTCCACCACGGAGAGGCGAAAATAACGCACCTGGCTCAAGGAGCATTAGACCTCTAGATCAAACGCTCCATGAACTTTTTTGAACTAAATTCTTCGTTTTACCTCACCAGCGTTGTAAACTCATTAGAGGAGGATATTTAAAATTCCACGCATTGTTCCTTCAGTCGTACAGTTTTGCAAGTATATTTGGAGCCTCAAAGTCCAATTTACATCATAGAATGAGTGGAAATGAAACAGAAGAATGCACTCCACCTGACATTAACCTATACAATTTTGACGACACCCAGTTTCAAACCTGTCGTTACGTTCTGACCAGTCCCCGTTCTCTAGAGGCATGCGCAAAGCTGAATATTAGGGTAACTTCCAACTGAATACAGAACAATGTCTCTGGCAGCCAGTTGAGTTGTTATTCAAGTCCAAAGAGGAATTTTCTGCCACGTATAAGAATTTTCCGGATAAGAAGTTGGAAGAAATGTTTGTTCAGCATGAAAATACAAGGAAAGGTATTGTTTTATCGAATGTTTATTTGCTGTAGAAAAGCTAATGAAAGCACGGCTAGAAAGAGCTCGGCTGATTAAAAGGTACACCAACAGCTCCAGCAGAAATTCCACTGATCCTGATCGGAAGCCTTCTAGCGTTGAACAGTGTAAGTCGTTTGAAGTGGTCGAAAAATGCGGCCTAATTTACGAATTTCAACTTTTGCCAGGTTGATGATTAATTGTTCTAGGAGGAGGTGAGCACACTGCGGTAACCAGCTGCTAATTTAATACTTCAAAACAATTGTTTTGAGTGTTACGACTATTGGTGTGCGGCGTGCGGCGACAAAAATTTCAGTGCGGACGCTTCCAAAAGTTAGAAGTGAAGCCTTTCTGGATACACATAAACCATATCCATTTGAAAACGTTACTTTGCAACAGGCGCGTGCTAGATGGAACTCGTGTCTTAGGAAAGCCAATTAGACCAACATGGGTCTAAGAAACTCGAGTTTGGAGCTAATCTCGCTTAATGGGATGGCTTTAAAAGGTCGCGTATACACAGAAGTGTTTCACTTATTCTTCTGTTCGCATAGTGATGGAGTTATTGATCACTTTTTTCGGTGTTAACTGAAAATTTTAAATCATCATTATGAGCTTTCTGCAACACCTGAGGTCTCCGGTGTTGTGCGACATCAAACTACCGTTTCTCAGAATCCCTTGACGGGAAATCCAGGCGTTCAAGTTACAGTGTCCATTTCCAATGAGCCGATGAGAATATTGAGACAAAAGTTGTTGAATCTTTCTGATGCTCTTCCGCATCACTTTTATTGGTATAATTGTTTGTAGTCCTGTTTTTAATGATTTCTGATCAAGCGGTTAAAATTTATTTCTTATTCGTCGGGACCAGCTAGTTTTTTAATGGCTTCTGTGCGCGTGCCTCTTTGTGACCCCCCCTAACAGCAAAATCTACGATAGGCTTCTTGCGCAGTCTACTTTACCTGATGTTCTTATGCCGTAATCTCGCCGCTAACATTCCAGTTGCATCGTATCTAATTTGGTTCTAACTTTTATGGCCCCTTATCTATAAGCGTTTGTAGTGTCCTCTGCTCTAAGAGGCAATCTATATAGCCCACGAATGTTGGTATCCTGCAACGTCCAGATTCTATTTGGTCCACACAAAGCAGGGGTTCGTCATTTTATGGACACGATAACAGTAGCGATTGTTTTGAACAGAGAGAACACACAAACAGTATCTGTCATTCACCACATTCAATTGCTTAGAACTGGGGGTAATTTTAACTGTGACTAATGGCCGAACACTCCATTTTCCCCATTTGTTGTAGCGATCGAGCCGAAGAGCGTTGTCTTATCATGCTGCTAACGCATTTGAAACAACTGCTGTTGTTGGTACTCCTCAGTGTATTGGAATAAACTGGCTATTGAAATGAATTACCAACATGCTAAAACTTCAGCCAAGACAAACCAGGTGAATATATTTGGCACAAAACACTCATGATAGCACTCGGCTCAGACTGTACAGTGAGCTTAAAAAACATAAATTGACAACAAAAATTCGGCAGAAACATAGTAACTAGCTGTGGCACCGCGGGCAGGGGTTTAAGCCCCGTGCTTTCTTAAGTATAGTGTCTGTTCGTGGATGTGGCTTGCTTGAGGAAACCGAAAGCAAGTTGGTCCTTCAGCACGCCGTTGTATAAGGCAAATAAGTACACAAAATTATACCTCAAGGCTCAATAAATAATATGAAAAATAGTGTGTTTCACTATAAAATGTATACAGATTTAAGCTGCAACTACCACGGTGAACTTATCATACCACGTTGGACTTGGATACTGTTTCAAAGGACAGAAAAACAGAAACTTAAAAACCAGGGCTAAAAATTCTATAAAATTTTCTCGGTTGCACTATGGATTATTTCTAACGTCTCGGACATTGTCCATTGTGGAGAAAACGAGTGGCTCTTATACATAGAAACACAGAGCAGACTCGCAGAAACATCTTGTACTGTCTTTCAAATCCCCTCGCCCTTACGGCATGCTGTCTGTAGACTAGGTGGGTGCCTACAAAGGCAAATAAACAAATTCCACATCAGACCTAAGCTTGAGTGCTCGGTTCGAGGATGGGTCACATGGCCCCACGAGATCAAATGTCTAGAATCTCCGCCAGAAACACCTCACAGATTACCAAAATATTACTTTGAGATCCTTGATCAACAGACGTACAAGTTAACTGCGGTGAAAACAGTCGCAGAGTTAAAATTTTACTGACATGCTACCAATTCAAGATCAGGCGAAATATACAGAATGCAATGTTTTAGAGTGCACAGAAACAAAAAACAATATACAACTGGCTACACGTACTATGGGGCTGGAAATTCATTAAGTTCTACTTTTTTAGTGCACATAGAGTATGTAGTGAGGTAATTCCAGCACATCAAACACAGTGTTAGTGATAATTGACTAGTAGCTTAGAATCAGACTCCTGGACATACTTCTACTCACTATTTGTCAATCGTATGCGGGACTTCCTACCCACCAATGTTGTCTTTTCTTCAATGCCATCCGATTCTAAGCGCAAGATGAACCGCAGAATTAATAAAACCTGGCTCCATATTGATATTACGACCCAGCTCAGAAGACATGAAAGACGAGAAGAGGTAAACTGTGCCAGGTGATCTATCTGTAAACAACAACCAACAACCCAGCATGAAATACCAACTTCTCAACTGTAACCGGGAACCGTTTTGTCAAGCGTTTAATTAGGCAACAGAAGTTCGATCAATCAGTGGGGGCATGTCAGTCAGGGAAATCATGTATTCAGGAGGCGGGAAGATTTGTCACTTATAGGGTACAGTTAAGCAAATGGAGCTTCATCCTCAGGTTTATCGTCTTAATGATGCAGCGATTTTATGCAGTTCGGTCAGTAGAACCGTTATTTGGGGAGGCTGCTTTAAGCAACAGACAGATTTACACACAATGACGACAGTACCGGACGTCTATGAAATTGCTACACATTGATGGGCATGAAAAATGGGATTGTCATTCAACTTCAACTGAACTTCTGTATGGTTCTATTTCACAGGTGATATACCCTTATTATAATATCGACAAAGTTATTGATACCGCATTTTCTACCCCCCAGGAATTAAACGGTCAGATGCTACAGCCCACAAAAACTTGGAAGGCTGTACTGGTTTAACTAATTCTACGGCTCGTAAAGGATTCGGAGTTGTGTAGTGAAAGTTTGTATAGGTGAGAACACTCTAAGATAAGGGCGGCCGAGAAGTTGCAAGTGCGTATGCTTCAAATGTGGTTCACTAATAGCGATAAAGTGCAAATACAAATGTATCAAAAGAACGCTGGCATCAAAGTTTTGTGAGGTTTATTCTAAGTGGTGTTGTAGCATGCAGATGTGGATAAAAGAGCCATTAATTTTCTTAGTACCAGCTGCGATGACCTTTTTCTTTCGAAGTAAATATGCTAAGAAAGAAGCTTCTGGGAATTCTCTATCAGTAAAGGAGGCGTATTCCTTTTTTGTGGGCTCTTCTTATCAACAGGTAATTCTGGTAGAGGGAGAGGTATGTTAAAAAATCACTGTTACAGTTCTTTTTGTAGCAGTGTGTCCATGATATATGTTTGGGGCTCACCAGTCAGTTACTGCTGCCGGGGAATTTTAAATAATGGACCTTAGTGCAAAGAATCTCGCATTTCTAATCGCTCCGTATTTATAACCTTATGGGCTACTAAGTATGTGCATGACTTACCGCCTTAAACGGACCAACAGCAAATGAGGTGCCGCTAACTGGGAGAACTTGGCCACGTAATTTTGTCAAGAACGGGTAAAACAAATGCTACTGAATTCACACATCTCCTGATCTTATGCAGTTTTGTATGTTATGAAATGCCTTGAGCAACAAGAACCCTTCCTGATAATCACTTTCATTGGTTCACATCGTTTTACAATCAGGATGTACTTCAGAAGCAATAACTGAAAAGTAAGCACACTTTGAATCCACCGTCTTCGTGAATAATTGGTCTTTCAACACAATAGGCCACCCAAAGAGTGAATGAAACAAATTGGTCCTGGTTTTGGGCTAGCTGGAAGGCACACTTTTTGGTTTTTGTAAGATATATCCAAATGTGGTTGTGTGATGACTGAGTCTTTTTACTGAACACTTAAAAGGAATTAACGTACACATCTGTGTACAATGGAAGAACACTGACTAAAGCATGATTATCAATTATTTTACTTCTTCACTTAAAGATGCCCATCGTGCTGCCTGAGAGTGTTTGTTTTCTTTCTTTTGGCTAATTTCTTAACCGGAAAAATGTTTGTCTCTAATGCACATACTTTTAAAGTACGCAAAGTTTGTTTTCTCAATTTTTCCAGCTCAGCAGACAGAAAGTTCAAACAAGGGTGCAGCCATAAAGTGAGTGATGGGATAACAAATCCTCCAAATATTTTTGGTCACAACTGAGGGGGAAAATATGTTGCCACATGTTTTTGTTGACCGCTTATCCTTGCATAAACCTGGGTTTTTTGGATGAAACAGGTTCGGAGCAGAAACCTCAGTCTGCAGGCTCGACGTCACAATTCTAAAACTGACTAACGAAAAGGACTCCAAAGTGATGCGCTATAAATGCGCGTGTACAGCAACTTGTGAAAGAGTTTTCAAATTTGCAAAGTGTATTTCGTGTCCCAGTTATTGTCGCCAGCCTTTTGAGGCCACAAACTATTCAGCAAACTTAGGTGTCGTTTATTTCCAGACTGGTGTGCCGCTATGATGATCTGTTTATGATGTGTTTTATTGCACATAAGCCAATGTGAACAGTTTACAAATTGCAACCCTTTGTATAGACGTGAAACATTGCCCATAAGTCTGCTGAAAGCTCTTCGACATCACAAACGTGAGTTTCGACTGGATCCAGCTGAGCCTGTCATCAAAGACAGATTCACATGTAAATGGGAGTATTTAGCACAGCACTGCCTTCATGTATATGGCTTGGAGAGCTCCGTGCTCTTTATTTCAACTTGATTAAAAAACACATGATTTGTATGACCTAAGGTAGAGTTATTGTTACAGAGTTTATTGGATCTTTTATTTTACCAAGACCATCAATGAAATTGACCAGTTAACTACCACAGCAGCGGTCTGTGGGTTAAGCAGCCCAGGATAATGTGGCCCTGGAGGGAATAAGTTTATGAAAACCGGACGATTTCTCCCACGGGCTGCTTCTGTTCGACAGAATCCTCCCAGAAATTGGCGACAGATATTCTGTAGTTGACATGTGTTTCATCATATAAAATGTCTCCTGATAAATGCTTAAGGTTTTGATTATAATTCGCTACCGAGTTACGTGGTTTCATTTGCAGCAGGTTTACGAAAACGGTCAGCAAATGCATGTTCATTTGAGGAATTTCCGCTTTTTAAATGACAATTACGTGAATAAGTGATCTGGATTCAAAACTCACCCTTAAGTGGGATTCCGGGTGCTGGCGGCTGGAAAACTGCTTGGTTGTTCAAACATATGGTCTCTAAATCGCTTTGAATCGCTTGTTTCCTATATTTTTTCACGGTGCCTTCTACCCACATCCTATAATGCGTTGCCACCATTTTCAAGCCTTTCAGCGAGTTAAACTGCCACCGTTAGTTTGTGATAGTAGTATTAACCGTGTTTCTTCCATGGTGCGCATGGGGTTTAGATGGGTATGCAGCCAAACAATAAGGCTAAGAAGATGTCAACAATTACTTGCTAATACTCGTATCACTACCTCAAATACAGTGAGCTGATGGATCCAAAACCAGCATATATTAAAGCAGATAGACTTGGTAATAAAGAAGTCGGTAAGAGTAACCCATCCAGGACCGTCAGTTATTTGAGTCCCACTCAAAATCACCTTAGGGTTTATGGCCTAACAGGTTACTTGTCTTGCAACAAGGGTTTCTCTTCTGGTGATATCATATTCGTTTCTCAGACGGTGAGCCATATGTGAGGTTTCTTGTCTGTATATTTTTCCGTTCACTGTGCCACTCAACGGAGCCATTCATATGGATGGAACTAGGTCCATCTCATCCATTTGATTCATTGCACTATACGACTCGTTGAGAAACTGTCCTGCCGTTTATTAGACACTTTTGTGGGGCAAGTCAAGTTTCATTTGCTTCTTTCCACTGTATGTGCATTTTAGATCAAAACCGAGCCATCAGGTTAGGAAAAGCAGAGGTAATTCTTCACCAATGCTTTTAACAAGTTTAAAATTAATCAAATAGCAGCAGACGTTAATTTTCGTTCCCAATGTATCTTTTCATGTCAAAGTATTTGGAACGAACTTGAGAGTGAAAGTCATAGAGAACACTCCTCCGCGTTCTCTCAAAAAGGACATGGGAAGAATTCGCCACTGATCAACGTGTTTGGTAAATAGGGTGAAATGAGCATGCTCTCATTGAGGTTTATGCACCCTTTGGATAAGTATTATCGTATCAACAAAAAGGTGTAATAAATTAATAACTTGTTCCATTTGTTACTCATATGCGTTTTTCAGATCATTCGGGACCACTTTATTTGGGTCAGAAAAAAACGTACAGCAGGAGTGACCTTTTACGTTCAAACCACCACCGATCCAGGGGATGGGCCTATCGAGTGACAGGCGCATATGCCCTTAGCGCGCGAGAGGAACAACAACAAATCTATTTCCGTCCTTACTGTGTGTGTGCTAAACAGTGATACCACACAATTAGTATGTATTACGAACATATTCTCCATCGTCGATGAACAAGTGGTGTCACCGTGCCAAAGTTCAATACGACCAGTCGCGAGAAGTGTAGCATTAAGCTTTAGACCACTATTGACGGAAACCATGTTAACGTCTGTAACGTGCTGCTCTACTTTGAAAACAGCAGTGAAGTAGTGTGGCCTGAAGTAGGTTTCCGTCGAGAAACTTGTGATACTAACAAGTGCCTTGCGTACTGTGGCAACGTTTAGGAACATCGCAAACATTCTGTGAAATATCTCCACATTGAAAATGTAATTCATGTAGGCAAATGAACACTTTTATTGGTTTAGGGAGCGAAGTGGTAATTGCGTCTGACCATTTTTTCTCAAGCTATCCAGCCGATTCATTTTCATTTAAAAGGACAAATCTACCCAGGTCTACATTTCTCCACCAAACAACATGGTTTATTAGGACCAGTGAAACATTCAAAAACCGGTTTTCCATCAATTGACCCGGTTACTGTCTAGTTCGTCGAAGTGTCAACACAGAGATCCCCCGTTTCGTCCAGCCGTATTGTTTTCTCCGCTCTAGTTTAAAAATCACAGCTAAAAGTCACTTCATTACAAAAGGGGCACAAATTTCCTCGGTGTTGTCGATTTTAAAGGTAACTGCCAGTCATCTGGATGAGTGGATGACATTCCGAAGCTCCACAAACAAGCGAACTCCTCAGATAATGACAAATTATTCTTACGGCGTCTTTTCATTAGTTCAGAAATCATATTTTGGCGAAACATAATAAAACCCAGAAAGAGATTTATTCCATTTCAAACCGTTCCCAGTGAATGGTAGGGAATTTTTGAACTTAGCTCAGAGTCGTTAGGAAAGTTTGAGGAGGGACACCATGCAGGAGTATTTGAAAAACGCAGTCTGAGGCTTGAGCATAGTGCTGCACTATTGGACAGTCATGAGTACAGCTTCCGGTGGAACCGATTTCTAGGCTGCGCGTGACAGCCAATCAGACCAAAAACGAGTTATTTTACTATTGTTCACGTGAGTCTTACTCCCTGCAGAGTCAGGGAGCTAAAAAGTACTCTAAACAAACCACTTGGTTTATCATCACAGAGTATTACAGCTCATCAATAGTGTATACCTTTGGTTATCATAAAGTAGGGAGGACTATGTACAAAGGTAAATTCGTGTCCTGCAACTATCTGCCAGTTGGCCTTTATTCGAAAGCCAGATGTCATCTCTCAGACAGAAGCTCAGAAAGAAATATGTCTTATACTCAGATGTGCCACGTATAGATTTTCTGTTGGCTGTGAATTTATTCTATGTTTAAACTTGATCATGGAAACAACTAATGATGAGTGTTAGGTTTTTGTGTGACCTGTTGCTTGAAGCCACATGTAATGATTGATACGAGAAGTATCTCCCTTTGGGATATCTATGATAAAACTAGTCCTCTGGCCTAGGGAGAATCTTGACTGGTTCGTTCGGGAAAAACAAAAGTTGTCTGTTTTTCCGTTCTGAGTAGCTGGGCCGCGAGGGAGCAAAATACCGAGCTACCCAAATTATTTTCTCAACTGGAGTGCTTCTATTTTACGGGTTTCCTCTTGAATGCTTAACATATTTTCAAAAATATCACTGTACGGTACCACTGATATGTATGTTCTTGCTGACGTTTATGGAAGTAGGATGCAACCAGATTTACAATCTACCAAGAAACAATAAAATGCTATTCAAAATCGGGATATCAAAGTCAACCTCACTTGATTCAAGCGTCACTTCAGTAAACCCCTCGTCTCTCCTGCGTTTTTTAGAGCTGACCTAGTCCAGAATTTGCCGGACAGATGTTATTCAGCCCAGCAGACCCTGCCAGAAAAGTACCAGAATTTGCTGAATAAGCTTCCACCTCAAGTGAGTGATTCAACCAATTTTCTTAATGAGCAAGTCCAATACACTGACGCCGGTCGATGATCAGCCACTGATCAAATTCACTTGATTTTGCCAGAGTCTGGGTTCAAATGGGAAAATTCATTTGGTGTTTTAAGGACTTTTGGACATTTCGAACCAGTTTGACAAACTTGACCAAATTTTAAGCCCAACAGAGTTTTACCGGAGACGACACAGGAGTGTTCCTTGGATTTCATCAAAGAAATTCAAACTGATGATATGCATTGCAAGTAAACATTATTGAAGCACATGTATAATGTGCGACACTGTTAGTCGATTACACTGCGGTCTAATACGTTTGAAAACACAGAACGTTCAGTTGACGATATCACCAACTTCCCCGGGGTACTGTAATAAACTAGAAGGCAAATGAGACACTGGTTATCCTATCAAGCTGAATAGCACTGTGAATAACTCCAAGGTTTCATGGCTCTAGAGCTTAAACAAGTTTATTCTTTGAAATCAAGCTTGCTTAAGTTTAAACTAGTGATCAATGTCAATATAAATGTTGAACATTAGTGTCTGTCAAAAAAGTATGGAGCTTGTATGTAGCGTGGAATTTTAGCTCTTGCTTTATTGGAAAAGTTAACCCTAGTGAGCGATTTAGCCTTTATGACCATCGTCATCAGAACCACTATATCTTTACCATAGCATCTTTTTATAGTGGCTGTTTTGGTAAGTTTTCTAGGTGCGTGACACAGCTTCAGATGCTATTCATTGGCGTCAATGTGTCGGAGAAGCCCTCCACGATTTTCCTAACTCCTGTGGGAAGCACAACTATAATAAGATATCTGAACATTCGTCTAGACCAAGGGCATGAAAAATCTGAGTGCGGCAGGCTCAGTGAATCCTCACGGATAGGGTCTTAATTAGACTGTATGCGCTGGCTAGACACGATGTTTTCGGATTCCAGCCGGATTATAGGGCTGAAACTGACAACTCCATTTGCACGACTAATTTTATTCCAGGTCTTCGATTAAATGATTTGACTTGGTCGTATGGAAAATCGAATGTTACTGATTAAAGATGAGCTATACAAGTTTCCGGGCTCACCTGTGAAATTAGTGGATGTGCACCCATCAACTTATTGCTTTTTCCCATATGCACCTGCTCGCTGTTTGCAACATTCGATTGAGTCAAGCGATGGTCTATTTGAAGCATACTCAAAGAATATGCCGACCTGACTGAAGTAAACTCGAGATTTCCAACTAAGCAACGCCTAAAAGGAGGAAATACTTGTGACCCTCCTAATTTTCTCTTCCTGCGGATATGCGCTCTTCAGTAACAAAAGACCCTCATCTAGGGAATACCATTAGGTAGGTTAGTGCTATGATCATTTATACCTTTTCACTAGAGGTAATCATCCTACATATGTGATGAACTACTTCGAACAAAACAGTGTAGTCCAGTTTACCAGCAGTTGGCTGCCTCACTGGAACAATTGAACCAAATCGTTTACTAGATAAGTTGGCAGTACGGACTTCTACCGCCATTCCCAGCAATGTCAGAACTAGATAAGCTGTTATCCTCCGTTTTTGAATGTGCATATACAGTCTACTGTTCAGCAAGTGATTAGATCGTAGGGTAATTTCAGCGTTGGCCCCGAAACAGAGGAGTTTAACGATGGTCGAAATCATCAGGCATATATATTTCAGGAACGCAGGAGTAATCAGTTAAAATTCTGTGTATGTAACCGGTGTTAGACATTATCATACGTAGTTCGCTTCGAAATAGATACTACTCCAAAAGAACCGATCATCCTGTGGTCGAAAATTTTATGTAGCGGTTGCTCACAGAAAAGACCAATGTTGTCTTGTTGTGGTCGGTGTGTTCTCTCTTAATAAAGAGTATCACTTTGACCAATTGTACATGCAAGTATTAACACGCATTGTTCTATTCACTAATAGAACTGAACATTGAATTTTGTGGAGTGAATCCATGACGTTGTACTGCAAGGCTTCAAAACAAAGACCACTCTCTGAACAATACCACTAGTACCGTGCACAATACTAACTCCCAGGGATTACTGCGCTTGGAATTCCACTCCAAAAATGCGACCCTAGAAATCATTCGAAAAAATCAATTTTAGTAGAACCCTATAAGCGGTCTAATCAGTGACACTTTAACACGCATCAAAGCATTATTGGTAATAAGATGCTCCTGTTCGAAAGGCTAATTTTTTCAAAGTACTGGTCAGAAGGTCGTGGGTTCAAAACACCCTGGACCCAAGAACTCCACAGTAAGGACAGCAGATCACCATCACCATTATTATCATCTTCAGGTGTATTCACCAGTACTTGTACAAAGGTTATATATTGCGCAGTTTTTCTCGCCGATAATCTTGAGAAGATAACGAAAAACCAAAAATCGAGAACTCAACGGATACCAGCATCTTGTTGGAAATGAATGAATGAACAGAGCCAGTCAGTGCATCGGATCAGTTTGTGACCGCAAAGGCTTACGAGAATCATGCAGGTAGTAGCGACGCCTGTAGAGCTGAACGGATGAACACAAAGAAAGAGAAATTATTCAGGAAGAAGTTCAGTCGCACTTAGTTCCCGGCACCAGAACGCAAATCAGTGCACAGAGTTCGCGTTCTGATCTTTTCTGGGGGAGAAATCTGAGTCTTGCTGACACCTAGTGTTGATATTTTGGAGTGTGTTGGCAGTAAGTGACAGTCCAGAGCCGATCCTCATGGTATTGCACAGAGGTGGTCTTGGTTGCGGGTATCTCCATAGCAGAGGAGCTTGGTGACGGGAGCTTCTGTGAGTTCACCCAACAACAGACTGGGTTTTTTCGGAATTTTTGGTGGGTAAAAAGCTGGCACAAGGTTCAAGTTAATTCTCATAGGTACCACATCTGGAATAGGGAGTCAGTGGACCCGCGCTAGGTGGCAAAATATCTATTGAGTTGTAGCCAAAAATTAGCTTGCGAGATCTCCCAAAGAGGAAGATTTTATACTATCAGCTACATTGTGTTACAAAAGAAACCAATTTCTAATAAAGGGCCGAGAAGCATTGTACAAATGTTTCATATTCATCATCAGTGCGCATCTCACGACACTCCAGGGGGTCTGGAACCCGCGATTTCCCGGCTGGTAGTTTGGACCCCTAACGATTCGGCCACAAGCGGTTGATCAGCTGTGACTGACTCTACCAATAACCTATAATTAGCTAGGAGGGAGAAAAAATTCACCCGGTGGATGAAACCTCCATCTGAGGAGAAGTTGCTCAAGCGGCGAGTCAGCACGTGTAACCACGTGATATGGATACCGTGATTCAAGGATCAGCAGCGCCACACCCTGTCTAAGTGCGAACTAAGTGCACTGCTGATCAGCTGCTCGCTATCAGATGGTTTGGTGTTCAAACTACCAGCCGGTAGATCACGGATTCGCGACTTTCTGCAGTTTTGCGATATGCACACGACTGATGATTCCCAATAAGGATGAAACGGTTTTATAATGTTTCTTGACTTCTTCACTTACGGGGCAAAATTTCCAACAAAACAATCAAATCTCCTCAGACTACGAACAATAAAACAGCTTGCGGAGTGCTAGAAAGAGACACAATGATATAAACATGGAAATAGTAAATAACCTGAGTGGATGAACAGTAAAGGTATCATATTGTTGACTTGTTTCAACTTTGGTTTGCCTTGAAGTTTCAAGGAAGCAGTAAGTCTAAATGTGACAGTTCTTGAGCAGCCTGTTGGTATCTTTTAGGAAAAAAAGAGCACGATATTCCACGAGGATCAGTAATTAATCAAATCCGACTAGTCACTAGTTGTAAAGTTGTCCATCTGAGTCAGCAGCCTGTTACAACACGTTGCACTCTCATTTAATACAGCTCAATTAATATACTCCTCTAAGTCCTAGTCGCACCTTTTCCGTATGAAAACAGTCCGCCGTTCACAATGAGGCAAGCCCGTTTTTGTTTGCAGGAAGCGAAGAGGCTTCGGCTGGCACATCAGCGCTGTTTGCAGCATGCGGCACAACTCCCGAGGACACAATCACTCGATCGCGTGGAGAACCGTAATAGCAACATGAGCACTCCCCGTGAGGTGAGCTACAAGTCAGTTCGAGCGAATGGTACTTGTTTGTTCTGAGGTACTCCTAATACTTCTCCTACGGTTGAATACTAAAAGTATCAATCAGTGATCATGTTGCTTCGCTGACCATCCTTCAGGAGCTAATGTTACACGGGCAACAAAAAACTGAACATCTTCGAATTTCCATTGAGTTATTCTTGGTTTTAGTTTGATCTCTAGATAACTAGGAAGTTCTGTTGATGAACGTTTTTTGTTTAGATACACTAGTGTATATTGCAATGCGTTCAATGTTGTATTGAATAAAACTGGAATAGGCCTTTAATGGGCCCATGTAGACAAAGAATGTCACAAACTAGCAATTCAGTTTGGAGTCATTTGAGTCTCTAGCCAACATTAAGTCAGTTTGTAAATGAGTGTATTTAACCAGTAGCCTTTGGTCCATTTAATGTTCTACAGAATTTCTACGGGTTTTCTAACGTGCCTGCTCATTGCTGACACCTACATATAGTCGAAGGGAGATTCGAAAAACCTTCCAAAATAGCATCTTCTAAATGGGAGTTTCTTGCTGAATTACAATTCAAGAAGCCAAGTGAATGTGTAGTTCTCCCAGAGGAGGGCAACTATAAATCCGGTGGCTTGTAGTCCTTGTGCTCCAAGTTTTCTGCATCGGCACATAACAACGGAAAAGGGAAAAGCCAGAAACTTCGTGCAACAGGGGGAACCACTGGTTATATCCACCACCCGGATCAGTTAAATTATGGAATTTGCCAGTCGGGCGATGATATCCATTCGTTTTAAGTAGAACACTGTGACCCAGATAAGGGTGCTAATTGTCTTGCTCCAGATTTTCACTTTCATTTTGTCGACCTTCAGAAAAGCCGCAGACGATCGTTGGTGCGCTGGATGCCAAAAGGTTCAACCAGTCCCACGGACACTAGGACTAGCGACGGTCCTACCAACGTAAGTTGAGGTTACCATAAGCTCGACCGATGTCAGGGTGTAAAGCACCAAGCGACAATGTCATCGTCCGTAGTTATATGCTCAACAACATACGTTCAACAATGAGATACTTTTTCACTCCTGCTGAAAAAGTTTACCTCTCCTGATGGATTCATTATCTTGATCTATATGACGGCGAAATTAGCACGCTATTTTGAGACGTTTGTTAAGACTTTATTTGCTCATTTATCTGGAGGCAAATGAACTCCCCAACTATAATGCATTTAATCCGGGTCAGCTTGAATACAATTTGATTTCTGTCTGGATTTCCAACCGACACCCAGCGTATACACACTATCCATCTAACTCGGCTCCACCTTTTGTAATCCGTGTGACGGACGAATAAGTGGGTAGGTCAGTAGTTCAACTCAAGTAAAATGCATGTATCTTCACTGTTAAGTTTCATCGTTCGTTTAGGATCCCTCATGCAGGTCATCGACAACAAAGGATGGTGAATTTTGGCTTCGAAAATGTCATGAAGAAAATGAGCAAAGGTAAGTTCGACACTGTTATATCGTAAAAGAATTGTCCCGGACAGCTTGGTGTAAAACATTTTAGACTTCACCGATAAAACCTAAGAACGGTACAGATATGTTTTTCAGCGCTTTATACGTACCACAACAAGCTCAGCAACTTCCCGATCGGTAAGACTCGTCATGGATCTCAATCTGTGAGGATACTTTCAAGGAGGATGAGACGAAGGCCGTAGGCATGCAGCCTCTCAGTAATGATTGAAAGTCCGTTTCAGTTTGTGTCCTTAGTACTTCAAACTCACATGCACTCTTTATAAGTTAGGTGCGGGCAATATGAGAACAAAAGCAGGTGATCCGTGCGCTGGAAAAGGTGCATCAGGTGGAAACCACTAAAAAGTACCGCTAAATGCTTTTCGTAAAAGGCACGCGTAGTGCCAGGGGCCTAGTTCTCTTGATTGAAGGCCATATTGACAATCATGGAAATGAATTTCTGACGTACAACAGTAAGAGTGGACCTGCTGTACACGGCTGCTAATCCGTTTAACAAGTTGATCTAGCTTCACACGATGGAATCGAATATTAAAACTCGAAAGAAATCACACTACTTACACGATAGAGGTAGGATACTTAGAGAGGGAAATAATCCGTCAAGTCAAGACGAGCCATTACCAAGTAACGCGAGATGCAGCTGATTAGCCAATCGGGCTGTCACGAGTTTTTTGCTGGGAGCTGTGTTTTAGTTCTTCGTTATTATTTCCAGGTTTTTAGCACACATCAGATTGGCACGGAACAGTAAGCACCTATCCATTAGTTTTGATGAGTAGTCACTTAATGATACAGTTGCTTGGGTTATACTGTCCTCTTCCTATCATTGAGAAAACCAAAGAACGACTGAGCAAAAGTTAACCAAAGAAGTGGTCACCTACCTGTAGATATTATGGAAAGGCCCACATGTCTGACTGGATTATATCACGGACTTCCATTTAGACGACAGGGGTTCGATCCACTAAGAGTGCTCTTCACCTGTCTGTCATGCACTATCCCGATGATCTGTACGTCGTAAGGTGTAAAAATGACGGTTTGGGGTTTAAGGTTTGCGATTCGAGTGGCACTTAAGGAAGCCCATACAGGGCTTTTAGATTGTTTGAAACAGACTGATGTAACTTCGTAGCCCGGGTGCCAATTTCACGGGCATCAGGGTCTTTCGATCCGCATCAATAGTACCAGCATCAACGTGGATTCTTGTTCTAGTGTTTATTTCTCCATGAAGTTGACAGACCAGTGTTACACCCATTGAATTTCCGTTGTTCACTGTGCAGGGTGTACAAGAACACGCATGTAGTCAGATCGCTTCTACCACCATCGCTGGTTGGCAAGGCCAGGAGTGGCAGCTGAAATAAGTTTGAAACAAACTCCTGCGTAGAGGACTCTCTGTATGAACGAGTTTTGCGTGGATCAAATAGGTGCACACGTAGAGCACACCAGACTTTTAGAAACCTCTTCCAAAGGGTACTGAGACCGCATACCAAGCAAATAATTCAGTCTTCAAATCAAAAGAGATGAGAATGACAATGATCTTGTTCGATATAATTTCAGCGATCGCTTGAAATACTGTATGGAAGAACGTGAGCGTAAATCAGAGCGGCTTCTTGAGAAGAATGAAAGAGAACGGCGGAGGAACCTACGAAATACCCAGTGGGTTTACTCTAGATCCATATGGTCGTTTAGATACTTTTGTAAAGAGCTTCAGTTACCACTGTATGATTCAAGATAGGAATGTTTTAACCAAAACGCATAATTTTCTTCTCCCCGTTCACAGTGAGGAACGCGAGCGGCGATTAAGACAAGCGCAGGAACGAAGGCGCGAATTGGACAAGATGTTGGAAACCTACAGACGTGAGCTGCAAGAGGCTAGAGAGATTGTAAGTTAATTCGTGTGGCAATGTATGGTTTGTGTGATGAGTGAATAGATGGTCAGTATTTGTCTCTGCTTTGTCCCTTCGAAAAGCCTGTGTCTTGACTCTAGCCATTTCTTTGGTATACTTGGTTTTCTTTGTGATTTCTGATAAAAGACACTTGTCGTCACATGTTTTGCATTTGTATACCCGGTAAACGAATTATGCTTTTCTTAGAGTTATATCGTTTTCGGGGATTCCAAATCATTTTCAAGGCAGGTAAAATCGGGAAAGTGAAGTTATTACTTTTCTAAACGTCTTCTTTACTGATAAATTGGGTCACTGCAGTTGCTAACAGTAAGTTACCTTAGACCTTCACTTTCGACAGGTCTGGTTTCTACTTGATTTTTCTACTACTAAGAAGTAATGCTGGAAAAGCACATAGCGGCGACATCCAAACATTTTCAGCTTTTTCGGGAAAGTTTGGAAAACAGTCGATAGATCAATTGCTGGGTAACATTTGATTGTTGACACAAAAACTGGTCGAGGTTCAAGGCGAAAGAGGAAGCAATAAGCTAACTCAGGCTAAATCGGTGTTAGTTATCTGCTAAGGAGTTTTGTTTGTTAAGATGGGTCAGCAAGTGTTAAGACCGATGGGGAACCTACATGGATTCTGGTTCAGTTCCGGTTCGCTTCACGTGAACGTCGTTTACACCTTTTATACGTTTGTGCGGATTAGTTAGTGCTACGATAGTTGTGTAAGGGAGAGGGATTCTGGGAATTTTGATCGGGTTGGGATTACTACCCCCTGGTTTTGCTAATTATCCTGCCCCTATTGGCAACCACACACTGTCACGTGTCAAATTGGCCTACCTAATACACACACTCATTCACCAGTTTCACAAGTTAGATTCTACCGACGCCGTGATGCCCGGTGGGTTACACCGAATCGACTATCAGCCGCCGGGGCGTAGATCCCAGTCCTCCTCTTAAGACCTCTACACTCTCCAGATCTATTATTTGTACCGTGTTCAACGAATGCCTCGGCATCACCGCGGCTTTGACGAGCACAATACTTGGTGATTTTACTTGTTCTTACGCTTGCCAATACTGGTGTGCAGTTCTTGGCTGTTTGCCTTATTTAAACCTTAGAGCAATTATCGTATTACATCAAGTGCCCAGCAATGTCCTCCAATACATATACCGATTGTTTTCAAACGTTTTCCGAAAACGATGAATTCTTGGTCGGTTCTAAGCGTTTTCCAGCTGATGTGTTCAGCTTATTTGTACAGACGGAATAAGCAGCAAGCGTCAGAGTTGAGTACTTATTGGAAATCGGCATGGAGGCCAGAGGAGGGCCGAATAGAGCTGGTACAGGATAGCACTGCACCTGAACAGAAATGCGAGTTGACATTGACGGAGTACTGCTGTCCTAGTCCACCGAACAAGCCAAACATGAACCTAGGCTGCATGAGTGATTATCGCCCGGCTCCTTACTCAGCAGACAGAAGAATACTTTATCAGGCGTTTTCAATAGCTGGGTGTTTTTATGAGAATCGATTTGTGAATTTATGCCATTTCATTTTGGCAAATTAGTCACTGAGGGAGAAATCCAAGTAGGTTTTCCTATTGATACCACATAGACTACTACTGTATTCAGTGCGACTGTACCATCAAGCAAGATTCAGCTCTAATGTGGTCTGGAAGTATTCTGAACCAGTGATTGTAGTTCCATAGGATCGAATGAAAAGAGAACACTCTTAATCGCGATACTACGGTTTCGCAGGCCTACCGCGTGCTTCTTCTGATTGTCAAGGTTCGTGATGCTTCGACAGGAAGTACTCGATGATAATTCAACATATGCAATGATCACTGAATATAGGGTGACTACTTTGCTCTGAACACGATCTGAGCTGATGTATAGTACTGATCAATCGGGTTAGCAAGGCTTTTGTCCAACTTTTCAATCGATTGCATGTACTTTGGGCTATCTAGCATTATCACAAACCACATTTTTCATTGCGCTTTCATGGCAACTATTCGCCAGAAACGTGCAACAACTGGATCTTTTCAAAGATACAAGTACCAGGAATCAACTGAGAAAAAGTCGCCTATTCTCTATGATCCCACTGAACTATAGTGCGCTTGGAAATCAACAAGCTAGAGATAAATTACTCCAAGGCATCGTGTTTGCATTCACTGGCGTACAACTCAGCAACGCTGTGGCACATTGCCAACGCTATGAACAGCTATTCCAGCCAACCATATTGACACCTCCAGAACTTTGGGATCCAAATATAGGTTGTAGGATGAACAACATGACTTCAATCTATTCTCATTCTGGCCTACTTTAATTTTGTTCCGTCTAGACCCACCAGCGGGCGCGTGAGCGAGCATATTTGCGAAGCAGTGAGGAGCAACTCCGCAAAGTGCACGACCGCCAACAACGAGAACAACATATTAGAGAGAACGCGAAGATGTATGTTGACTTTATTTGGTCAGATATTTCTCTGATGTGCTTTTAATCTTGACGTTAAAGGTGTATGAAGCCACTCCTCTAAAGACTTGCGTCTTTGTCGGAGGTTGTATGTGCCGTTAATCAGGTTGTGCTTCGAAAGTTCACTTAAGTAGGTTTGGAAACAACTAGCTATTATTGGCGGAAAGCCAAGATACAACTAGAGTAGAAAAAATCAGAATGAAAAGATTTCTTCTCTGAACATGGCTCACGCGTTTCTATAAGAGGAAAGTTTTCGAACATTTTGGAGTTCAGACCAGGTTTTGCAGGTCACAAACATCGACTGACCGAACGGTTGGCTCTGAACACCATTGTCATAACATGAATAAGGTCAGTGAAAATTCTGGACGCTCAATACCGGTTTTTTCCTTTTGAAGCTCACCAGACATGCCTAGTCAACGAATTCCCGTCATTTATGCTCAACGTCCAATTAAACTCCTGTAGAGCTGAACACATTAGCAACTTAGGTTGGTGTTAACTGGAAACCCAAATGAAATTCAATAAAACCCTCGTCTACGATATCTTTTAACTGAATTTTCTTCCAAAAGGCTACTTTATTTTATTTCGAAATAATACTCACTGTTTCACAGTATTTTCCTCCACATCACTGATGGAGATAAGGGGACTAGGCCCATCTGATGGGCCCAAGAGAGGTAGAAATCAGTAGTGTGCCGTACAGAGTTTTCATCAGCCTTAGAAGTAATGTCACTTCAAGGGAAATACACCGATATCCTGAACACTAGCCATTATGTGTGTGCCACATGCGGGCGAAGAACATCATAAACGAGAGATTAAAGTGGATTTCAGTTCAGATCCCTTAACACTAACCTAGTCTGTTAATAAGTGTTTACCACTGCGTGAATATCCAGCTGTATACTATACATTTGTCATGTATATCGCACTTATGAAGCAGTTCTTCTATCACGTGATTGCAACCAAACAGCCAAAAAGCAGTGTAACTCAGTTGTGTGCACTTTTGAAGCGCGAGAGTGAATCTCTGAAATAGTGCAAATTCACCCTGGTCAAGACATGTGATAAATGTACCACCAAATAGAGCTCTCATGAAGCGGGGTCATCATCATCATCGACAACATAACATCACTGTTCAGCATCGATCCTTCGCTGCCGTACAACCATGATTTATCTGAAAGCCTTATTGTGAAGAGAAGAATAAAGGTGGACGGGGAAGGGACTTAGTGCTAGCTTACTACAACGATTCCGAGGTCCATACACTTCCAAATACTCATTCAGGCAATCTGGATAGAAATTGACAACAAGATCGCTACTGACATCGGTTGGAAGCCATGTCTTACAGCGTCTCCAACCAGGTTCAGTGAAGATCATGCGGTCCCCATCCTGGAAGGCGAGTAGCACCGACAGCACCCAAGCGTTTCGTGGTCTCCTTCATACTCCTCTGCCAAGTCAAGGGTTGACCACCTCTCTGTTTACGCCACTCTGAATTGGGAATGGAAAACAGCACTCTCTTCGGCAAACGATGGTTCGGTATTCGCAACACATGTCCCAAACAACGCAGCTTGTGGTGCTGGACACATTCTTTAATGGAAGTACCCGTCGCACAACCGGAAATTCGCTTTCTAAATGCCTCAGTACGGACACGCCGGCACCAACCCGCACGAGATATGATCCTGAGACAACGATTATCGAACACCTGAACACGTCTCAGTTCCGCTGCCCGAATAGACCAAGTCTTACAGCCATACAACGAAACAGCCCGCACTGTAGTTTGATACGGACCTCCTTTGAGATTCAGGGATACACTACTTTGACGCCATAGGTGTCTCAAATTAGCAAACGAGACCCGATCCATGCAGTTTCATGCATTGACCTAATCCGTCACACTACAGTTGGAACTAATACAACTTCCAAGATATGTGAAACGCTCCACAACTTCGAGTGCTTCCCCCTGGGTTGTAAGTGGCGTGTTCAGCGACTGCATGTCCAGGAGCATGACCTTACACTTTGTGGGTGCAAAGTGCATACCAAAGGACTTCGCTTTCTAAATGCCTCAGTACGGACACGCCGGCACCAACCCGCACGAGATATGATCCTGAGACAACGATTATCGAACACCTGAACACGTCTCAGTTCCGCTGCCCGAATAGACCAAGTCTTACAGCCATACAACGAAACAGCCCGCACTGTAGTTTGATACGGACCTCCTTTGAGATTCAGGGATAC